AAAAGGAAGGAGGTGAAAAAGATTAAATATTACAATTAATCATTCAGTTCACTTAAAAGTAGATGGGCTCATGATGTTTTCTCATGAAAACTAGATTAATTGCCTGACCTCAGTTTTTTAAAGCATACACAAGTCTTCAAAGATTTGATATTAAAGAAAGCTAATAGCACAAAACGGTATTACCCTTTAAAAGAAAATAAAGAAAAGAACCCGACCCGCCCAGCGCCGCCTAGACCCGCCCTGCAATGCATGAGTTTGAAAAATCGCTAGGCAGTAGGCTTAAAGAACAAAAGAAAAGAACCAGACCCACCCGTGCACCCAGACCCGCCTAGCGCCGCCTAGCGCCGCCTAGACCCGCCTAGCACAGCATAGAACCGCCTAGCGCCGCCTAGAACCGCCTAGACCAGCCTAGACCCGCCTAGCAATTTCAGTTACATTGGCAGGCATTCTAGTCTAGTTTATGAATCAAAGCCTTACCAGATTGACTGAGAAACACTAACATTCTGGACGCATTAGCAACAAGAAATGCTATTCTTGTTTGGTTCACGAGAAATGAAAGATCACGACTGACCTGAGTACTGGAAAGTGCAAAACTTGAGGCTGAATTTCCTTTTAAAGGCAGTAAATCGTTTGTTAGTTAGTTAGCCATCTGTAACTAATCTTATACAGCTGTATTTGACAGCTCATCATTGTAATTTAATATAAAGCTTGTACAAACTATTCTTTCAGTATTTTTTTGAGAATTACAATTCCTTTACCTTTGAAGCCAAACAGAAAAACCCAAAACTGAGCAGTTCAAGCTTTTTGCAAAGAACAGTATGTATGAGTATGACCCAAAAAAGGAAATAAGAAACCTTTTGCAAAGAACACGGTTTTTCTTTGTTTTTGGGTTTGGTTCCTTTGAAAGTGTGTTTAAAGAAGGAAGAGCGTTTCATCACTCTTTTCAGTCTCATCCAATTATTGATTAAAATATTTTTCCTTAAATAAAATATCAATTTTACTGTCACACTGCTCAGAGACCGCCATTATCGATCGGGACAAGCATTAAATAATTTTTTTTTTTCCGCTGACGTTCATTGGTTTTTGCTATCACTTTGTCTTCACTCTGCAAAGCCATCTGGCTTACTTACTGTTTCATTCTCTTATTATTATTTTTCAGTTGTTACTCAATTTACACGACTGCCGCTGTTCAGTGTTGACCATTAACTGGTTGCGTTTGTTTTCTTACTTCTGAGTGGTGTTTGTTGTTTTTGGGCAGGAATTTGACTTGACAAATGAAAGGTTCCTTGTGCCGGAGAGATGATCTTCCATCCTGCTGATTTGGGTTTGTCTTATATTCTGGTTTCAAAGTACACACTTCTGGGGTTTTAGTTTGATTCTTGAAACAAATACAACGTATGATTCTTTGTTATTGAATGAAAATTTGTAATCCAAAAATACAAATAAAGATATATATCCACACAACGAATCTGTAAATGTGATGGTTGAACTTGTAAATGTTATATATATATATATCCACACAACGAAACTGGACAAATAAAGATACCTTGAATCTTGGTACAAGACTCCAAGTGATTTATGGGAGAAAATTAAACTTTTTCTTGCCAATCATTATTGTAATTTAGATCATTAATTATATGAAATTTTGTTTGAATGTATGCAGTGGCGGAGCCATAAATTTTTTATAGAGAGGGCACCTCATATATTAAAATTTATTTTTTCTTTACGGTGACATTTGAATTAATTTTTTACTTGATACAAAATTCATAAATTTGATTACTATACTCTATTATTTTACATATCACATTAACTATCTACTCATTATTGATACTAACAAAAGATATTACATGTACTTTGTTAAATATACACACTAACAAAATTCAATTGGTAATTTATTACTACAATCAAAGTCAAAATAAGACAAAAAGAGAGAATGGGTAGTAATAATAGTGGAAAAGGGAGAGAAGAAAAACATAAAGCACTTTGAAGTTTGATAAAAGATGTGTAATTGTGTTAAAAAATCCAAGGTCTCAAGAACGTTGAGACCCCTGGGCCTTAGCTCCCTCTGCCCCTGAATGTATGATTCAAATTAACAATTCGACAATGTAACAGTGAGATATCCCCGAAAATAACCATTTCTGCCGTGTATATCTGTTTCCACAAAAGATGAAGAGAGTAGACTAAGAATATTTTTACAAATAAAATAAAAATTTTGTGTGTTGATCAACTTTCGTACCATCATACATGTGGAGATTTTTTGTTGAAGCAGTCTATCAGACACATCTCCAAACAATCTTCAAATTGATGATATGTATGCACGAATCAGATACATTTAGCCTAGCATGTTTCAACATAGACAGCAAGTCTAACTGAGCTCATGACATGCTGGAGCTTTGATTTCCTCACCGTCACAATAGAGCAGTTTTCTGGTCGGACCACCGTCATTTAAAGAAAGAAATGATAAATTATGATGAGGATCAATTGGAAGGGAAGCAGAGCGAGCAGGAGCATCAACCTTTGCTTGCACCAAAACTTGAAAACCAATCATCCATATAATTAGTGTGTAAGTCTTTACTAAGCTTGTATGCAATAATACTAACCTTCTTCAACCATGGTAATTTTAGAGAGTCTTGTTAATCGTATAGAGAGTCTTCTTCACCTATGCAGCACTGTAGTTTCTCTTTCTCTTAGATAGGGTGAGATCTGAATTGAGAGTGTATTTGCTGCAAGGGAAGGGACCTCTATTTATAGATGCATCACTTTGAAAGCCTTGCCTATCAAGAAGCATTCGAGTGTCCTTTTTGCATTAGAATAGGTTTGTTTCAATCCATGTTATGTTAGGAATCCTTTTCATACTTGTGTTTAACTTTAATAAGCTCTGTACAAGTATTATCTCATAAGGCAGAGTTCTATTTCCTGATCAATCAAAAACTCTGAGTCCTTAGGATTAAAAGATCATCTTTTATGGACTAAGACAATAAATTGTCTTACATTCTCCCACTTGATCGACTAATCCCTAAAGATTTTGTGTTAATCACTTAAGGCCATTGTGACATGTAACTCAAGTTGATTCCATCAAGCAATTGTCAATTTTAAAGAATGAGAAAGAACCATCAAGACTTCATTGGATATCTAATACTCCAGAGCCTTTATAATCACATTAATCATTCTTTAAAACCACATAAGCTTCCATCAAGATTAAACAGAAAAATAAACATGTTCTACTGTAAAGCTTTATGAACATGTTCATTCAATGTCCCTTAATTCGACTACTAAGGTCTCATCACTTTGTTAAAAAATGATGTCACTGTCATGAATGAATATCATTGCAGATGTCTTTAGCTAGCTTTTCTTCTTAATCCATTCAAGTACTTATAACCATATAATAACTAAACATGTAACTATTTAATGAGAAAAACTTTATTTCTGAATCTCAAAATAAGATTAACATCCACTGAAAACCATAACCAACTGTGAATTAAGACTAAAACAGAAAACTACTTAAAACTTAACGAGGCTCCAACTGATTTAAGCATTTAAATCATTCCTTAATCCCATGCTCATAACATGCCTGTGAAACACTGTATTTGGAACTCCTTTTGTGAGAGGGTCTGTAATCATCCTGTCGGTACTAATATGACTTATATTGGTATATCCTTGAGCAATTTTCTCCTTCACTATTATGAACTTGACATCCAACAGTCTTGAACCTTCTACTCTTTTGTTTCCTTTCGCAAATAAAATTGTTGCACTGTTGTCATTCCATATTTGAATAGGTCTGTGTATTGATTCAACCACATTTAGGCTGATAATGAAATTTCTTAACCATATAGCTTGAGAGGTAGCTTCATAACAGGCTAGAAACTCAGCAAGAGGTAGCTTCATAACAGGCTAGAAACTCAGCAAACATAGTTGAACCTACTGTCATAGGTTGTTTTACACTCCTCCGTGACACTGCACCTCCTTCAAACATGAATGCATATCCTGATGTAGATTTCAACGAGTCTTGACATCCTGCAAAATCAGCATCTACATAGCCTTGTAATTCCAGTGTATCACTTCTTTTAAAAATCAGCTTGTAATCTTTTGTCCTTTGCAAGTACCTCAACACTCTTTTTCTTGCAATCCAGTGAGCTTGTCCAGGATTTGACTGAAATCTTCCTAGCATACTGACTGCAAAGGCCAAGTCAGGTTTGGTACAAACTTGCGCATACATTAAGCTTCCTACCAGTGAAGCATATGGTTTATCAACCATCTCCAGCTTTTCTTGCTCAGTCTTAGGTGCTTGTTCAATGCTTTAGTTTATCCCTTTTGAGATAGGAATATCACTTCCTGTACAGTTCTGCATATTGAATCTCTTGAGCACCTTTTCTATGTAGGATTTTTGTGATAGTCCAAGTACCCCATTCTTTCGATCTTTGCTTATATCTATGCCTAAAAAGTATGATGCCTCGGCTAGATCAATCATTTCAAAGTTCTTAGATAGGAAATTCTTGCAGTCATGTAACATGGTGAGATTTGTGCATACCAGCAAAATGTCATCTACATATAGAACCAGTATAATAAAATGTCTCCCACTCACCTTCATGTATATGCATTCATCTAAAGCATTCTCAACAAAACCAAAATCTTTCACTATCTTGTTGAACTTTAGATACCACTGTCTAGAAACTTGTTTTAATCCGTAGATCGATTTGCATAGTTTTCAAACCATACTCTTCCCTCCTTCTTGAACAAAACC